TTCTGAAGTTGAATGTGTGGCTAAGAAGAATTCTAAAGCCAAGAGACCCAACTCAGCGGCCGACGTTGAGCCTAAGAAAAGTTGGTATGATTGGTACAGAGCTTTGGAACCAAAACTTAAGACTTCTTGGCAAAAAAGCGGGATCTATGATGTCTTGGCCCTTTGCGCTTCTGGGGATTTTCCTTGTGACCGTTCACTCATCATAGCAGGCCTATGCTTTTGGTCATCCTCCGTTAACTGCATGAGGTTACGGTTCGGGATGATGACCCCTACTTTACTTGATCTGGCTGCTATTTCCGGCCTTCGCCCACATGGTGTGGTTTATGCAGCGGCTGATCTTTCGGAGCCCCTTTTGAAGACGGACCACGACAGGCTCAATAGAAGTTTCACTAACTGGATCAAAATCCACTTTGGCTATACCGAGTCATCCTCTGGAGCTCCGATAGGCTCAACAAATGGTGTATCTTACATGGAGCATGTGGCTTTTCTTCAGATGTGGCTATGCAAATTCTTGACTTGCGCAAAGTCTCGCCACGTCACCAAAGAAGTCCAACCCTTGGCTGAAGCTCTTGCAGATGGCCAAGCAGTGGCCTTGGGTCCTATCTTTTTGGCCTATCTTTACAGATGCCTTCGTGATATTGTTTTGCCCAAACCCATGTCATGCAAACCTTCAGGTCCGATTTGGCTTTTTCAATTATGGCTTCAGGTCTACTTCCCGGAGTTGGGTCCGGCTAACGTTATTTTCGGGGTGACTCGCTTTTAGGAAAATCGATTGCTAGCCTCCCCCCGCCCAAACATCATGTGGAGGATTGCTTTCGATTTTTCTATGAATGTTCACAAAGGTCACCCGGTGACTTATCCATGTGCTTAGATCATCGTTACCCGAGTTATTTGGCCTTGCACCTTGCCAGCATCCCCACACTGGAGACCAAAGAAGAACGACGAGAACTTTGGGCGAGCATTCTAATTAGTCGAGATCTTCCTTATGGCCTTGCATTGAACAAAGTGAGCCATTACCCTTGCGGCTGCGAGGTTTACTATCCTGCTGCCGTAGGGCGCCAGATGGGTTTCATTCAGGGTGTTCCATCTCCCATGGTTGACTCCCATAACTATTTTTCCTCATGGAGAATAACTTTTAAGACAGAAAGGGAAGTGAATTCCATGGTGAACTTTAATCGTGAGTTGGCCAAAGTATTCAACTTCCAAACCCGTGACCCCGAATTTGGCTTCACCGAATCTTTCAAGGCTTGGTGGGGAAAAATGTCAGCCACTTGGTTTTCCCAAACCTCTGAGGTCCATATGGAAAGGATCTTCTGGGGTTGCGCCTGCTCGCCTACTTATTATAGTTTTAAGCACGGTAAACCTTTTTTTTTTAATTTTTTTTTTTTTTTATGCATGCTAGTCTTGACTACTAGTCTACTAACATTTTCGCCTCTTGCAGCCACAAAAGAGGTGAGCGCCGACTCCAATCCTAGTCAGGGTGAGAAGAGGCCACTTCCCTCTAACCGAGGTAAGCCAACTTTGTTGGACTTCTGGCCATTCCCCATTTAATCTTGGATGTTTTTAGGAGCCAAAATTTCCGATGTTTTCTTTCAGATGTTGGGGAAGATCAAAACTCCTCCGGCTATGATGTTGAGATTCCACCAGCTGATGATGCAATCCTTGCTCGACCAAGAAAAATTCCGAAGAACCCATTGCCCTCAGGTGCGATTTTTTTTTTTTTTTTTTTTTTTTT